TTCAAAATATTCTACCCAAAAAGATTAAGTTATAAAATATAAGATAAAAAGTCATTAAATGATTGTTCATCATATAAAACTATCTTTTAAGTATTTTTCATTTACAAAAAGTTTTAAAAGGTAATTAAAACAGAATTCAGTTCTTCATTATTATATATATTTTTTAGCATGTTAATATGAATAAAATACTTTTTTATTTTCCAAATGTGAATCAAACATATTGATAATTTCTTAAGAAAATCGGACAAATCTAAACTAAATTTACATATTGTAGTAAGTTTTTTTAACCTTATGTTTTATGTTATATAATTTTAGGATTTAAGGTTGTTAAGACCATTTTATCTTTATAAAAATGGTCAACCAGTAGTCAAATAGTGTCAAAAAAGTATTTTTTTGGATAAACGTAAATTAGAAGAAGTCGTATAAGAGAAATGAGTTTATTACTTAACAAATCTGAGGTTATTCACACTTGCTAGTCTTACCATTTTTCTCTTTTAACATGCTTAAAATAAATATTTTAATTAATCAAAATTTAATAATATTCCTCTAATAATGAGGTTTTCAAGATCTCAAAGGTGTTATACCATTAATCAATAAAACCTCTAAAACAATATAATATTAATAAAAAATTGGTTTAATGTCTCCGTAGGTCCCTATTTTGGTCATGAATTTCAAATAGGTCCTCTTCATTTTCGGCGTATCAATTGAGTCCTTTTTTTTGTAAAATTGAATCAATTACAGGCCTGCCGTTAATTTGGACAAACGGCCGTTAAAGTAATCAGACGTGGCATTTAAAACGATTTTTGTATTAAATAATTCAGTTTTGGGTAAGGGTAAAGTGGGAAATTTGAAAAAAATTAAAGTGCAACTGAGATTGAGAATGGGGAAAGAATTTGAGGGTTTTTTTTCTGAAGGTTCATAAATTGTCTGTAGCAGATTGATGTTGGTGTATGAAACCTCTGGTGGTGGCTGTCTCGAGGTGGAAGCCTTGGCCGGCACGGGGGCCGAGCTCATCCAGGAGGCAATTCATGAAGGAGGAAGGAGGAGACTCGTAAGGAGACCCGTGAAGGGCGACGGCGCCTCCAACATTAGCGTTTGTCGCCTCCAACATTTTTCTTTCCAATAATTGTTATCCTCTCCAGCAGCTGCCGCACCCACCAAGCAATTTTGCTTTTTGGCAGCTTCTAACTCATCCAAACCTTTTATTGCTTAACAGCAGCAGTTGCCCCCACCAATCACTTTTGCTCCACAGCAGTTGTTGCACCCTCCAACAGTTTTGCTCTCTGGTAAACACTGGTCTTAGGGCATTTATGCTCTTCAACAACTTTGCATCCTCCGACCACTGTTGCTTTTCTCCAGCCTCTGTGTTCTCAAAGCAATTTTGCCCTTTGACTGCGTTGTACTCTCTGAACATTTTTTCTCTTTGGCGTGCGCCACACCTTACGAATACTTTTTCTCTTAGGAAACTGCTGTGTTGTCTGAACTGTTTTTGCTTTCTGGTAGCCACCGCACCAAAACCCGTGAACTGTTTTTGCTTTCTTGGGACGCGACGGTGTGGCATCGGAGGCAATGGTAGCTACGAATAGAGAGGGAGAGTCTGGAGTCGTGACCGGTGATAGCTCCGGCGGCGAGCCTCGGCCTTGGTGACGCCATGGATCGCGGTTAGCGGTGGCCGATTTCAAAGAGAGACGAGAGAGGGAAGGCAGTGATTCCGGTGGCGCCTGAGGTCGCCGTTGACGTCGAGATCGGTAGAGGGTGGAGGCACGAGTGGCTGGTTCGAAGAAGCGTTGGTCTACGGTGACCGGTTGGGAGAAGGTTGAGGCGTAGTCGTGGGTGGCAGAGGTGAATGTCTCTATTTCAGAAAAAAAA